ATCGCCCTCCTTCTCTGAAATACAATCTTCGCATACACACCAACACTTTCATACCTTTCCTTACATTCCAACATGCGACTCACATCCACACTGCCATTCTCTCGCACAATCACACCCCACTCACTCAGGTTCCTCACATCACCATACATTGGACACTCAACCAACACATGCTTTTAATTCTCTCTCTCCGCTCCGCATGCACAGCTCTCACTCTCAGACAGACCACGCTTATACAGGAATTCATTCAAACTTCCATGCCCTGTCAGGATATAGCCCAGGCTCAAGCTAGGCTCGAACTCTCGGCACTCACCCGCGAACCTTACATTCTTTATAAATTCATACGTCACTCTTCCTTTCTCGCACTTATTCCATCTATTCTGCCACATCTCATACAGCCTTTCACTCACCAATTCCATACATCCTTCCACACCTCTCTCACGCAAGTCACTATCATTCACTACATCATACTCACTCATACTAATTCCCTTTCTCACCTTATACAACACTCCTCTTCTCACGCACTCCAGGTCCCACGGCAAGCCACCCATAAGGACTTGCATGGCCGCCGTGGAGACCGTTCTACATACATTCAGACACGCACTCAACACCACTCGCTGGCACCTATTTATGAGCTCCCTCGCATATTCAAATCTCATCACTCCATACCATACACTCGCTCCATACATCACACACGACATGAACAGACCTTTATACAACACAGTCACAGCTTTCTTTCGCAAACCCCACTCACTTCTCAACACGCGTCTTAATTTTCCCACCACATTCATACATTTCTTTCTCAGACACTCCAGATGCAACCTGTAGTTCATCCTTTTACTCACACAAACACCCAGATATTTCACGCTCCTCGCATACCTCACGCATCTATCATTCACTCGTACATTGGGAGGCCTCGTCCCAGCCATACTACCTTTCATCAACATCATCACAGTCTTGTTCTCAGACACACTCACACCTACTTTCACTCCCCATTCGTACACCATTCTCATCCACTTAGTACCCTTTCTCTCCAACTCCGCTCGGCTCTGTCCTTCCACGACCAACAACAAGTCATCCGCGTACGCAACCACTTTACATTCACTCTCACGCAGCCGCCACAACAGTTCATCCATCATTAGGTTCCATATAAATGGATCACAGATGGAGCCCTGCGGGCAGCCACGCTTTACGTCTTTCCACACTGTGTCACACGCACCCATCATGCATACACGCCTGCCGCTAAAATAGCTCTTCCATAATTCAATTTCTTCACATTCAACCTCACGCAATTTCTCGATCACACATTCCCACTCTAGGTTATCAAACGCTCCTTTGAAGTCCACGAACACTCCTAACACATACTTTCTCTCCGACCCATTCACCCAGTCATGCACTCGATTCCATGCATCCTCGGTCGACCGATTCCTTACGAATCCGTACTGGGCGTCACACATTCTTCCACACATCGTTCGCTCGAGTCTTCCAACCATCATTCGCTCCAACACTTTCCCCAGCACGGACAGCAGTCAAATGGGCCTATAAGACCCAGGGTCCGACCTAGGTTTATCGGGGGACTTCAATAACACTACCACCCGCGCAGTCTTCCACGCCGGGGGGAAACACGCTGTATTCAGACATACATCATACATTCTTTTCATCCATACCGGGACAGCACGCCAAATCGCTCGCAACATCTCAGCACTCACACCATCCATACCAGGTGCCTTACCCACTTTCATCGATCTCACTGCCACATCCACTTCGCTCCATTCAAACTGCTTTTCTTCCTCCCTCACGTCTCCCCTGGCGTCTATCGCCACGTTCGTCCTTGCTGCCGGAAGAATCTCTTCATTAGCTCATCCGCGCTTTTTTTCCATGTACTCGTCACTCTATCACCCACTTTTATGCCACTTAATCTTACCCTATCACGCTTTCCCATGCACACCTTATATACATCGCTCCATGGATCCCTCTTCCCAGTCACGCACACAAATCGCTTCCAATTCTCCTCTTTCACTCTTCGCATTTCCTCCTTATACTCCCGCAAAACATACTTATATTCATTCATTCTTTCTTCCACTCTGCTTCCATTCCTCTTTCTCGCACGCTGGTAGGCACGTCTGCTCCTTCCTACAGCCTTCTTCAGTTTCTCAAGCTCATCCGTCCACCACACAAGCTTCCTAGCATACACAGGTTTACACCTCTTCATCCATCGATCATTCGCACTATGGATCCATTTCATCATTCGCTCTACACAGCTCTGCGCATCCGCTTCGTCTATGGCGCTCGCTGCATCCTCTAACGCACTCTCTCGCATATCACACATATATCCTTCCCAGTCTACGTCCTTGCACACCCATCTACGCATGCCCTCATTCGTACCTACATTCTCTCTGTGTACCATCCGTATTAACAATACGTTATGGTCACTCACTCCCCAGTCGGGCTTTACTTCCCACTCATACCGGCACCCTCCATTCACGCCGTTCACGAAAGTGACATCGATGTCACTCTCCCCATTCGGCCCGCTGAACGAGTAAAACTCGCTTGGCTCATTCAACAACATTCATCCCGCTCGCAATCATCCATTCCTCAATCACTCTACCACGCGCTTCACTCTCTCTGCTGCCTCCACCCTTGCTATACCACAAGGGAGAGACGGCATTCGCATCCATACCTATCAGCAGACGCTTTCTCCCGGCCGTCTCACATACTCTGTCCATGTACGCCAAGTACGGCTCGATACACTTACCATACTGGCAATACATGGACACCACATACATTTCGCCAAAGTCCCCCTTCAACCACACACTCACTCCAAGCTTATTCGTACACTCTCTCACGCACATCACGTCTAACCTAGAGTCATTTACCACCACTGCTGCTTTCACCGTCCCACTTTCGCACACAATCACATCCATACCTATGGGCAAGCCCACCACACGTCCATGCCTTTCATACGGTTCTTGCAGCAGTGCTACACTCACTCGACGTTCGCGCATCATCTCACCCAGATCACACATAACCGCATACGCTCTCTGGCAGTTATACTGCACCACATTCACGCACCATTCATTCGTCATTTATTCTCGCTTTCTCTCTCTCTAACGCTCTCACGTATTCCGGACACACTTCGGACAGAACCGAGTGATCACATTTGCTCCCTTTCAGCTTACAGTTTCTACACACACTTTCCTTTTTACAATCTCTCATCATGTGTCCTACACATCCACATTTTTGGCACAGTCTTTCCTTTTCGGTGCATTGCCGCATCATGTGCCCAAATGCGAAGCACTTGTGGCACCTCAGCACACTGAAAAACTCTTTCACCCTAAAGGCCTTCCAATGCACAAACACTCGTCCGTCACTACAGAGCACATTTCTTATTGCACTCGTAACTTCTAATATCACATTTCCGCAGGTTGCATCTTTCTTCGCATTCCTACTCACAACACGCACACGTTCCATAAATACTCTCTCATCCACTCGCCCTTTCAAGCTCCTCTCATACATTTCTCTCATTAACACTTCACTCGCCATATCATTCGGCACATCGTACAAGATGATCTTTGGGCCTATCTTGCGAGGCAGCTCAACCTTTAGGCCAGCATTCTTAAACTGACCACACTCTCTTATTCTTTTCAACTCACTCTCGCTCATCGTCTCTCAATCGCTACACCTCCATTCCTCACTTTCCTCACCGCTTTCACACGCACATTCAGTGACTTGCTCACATGCTTCATCATTCTCTCCTTTACTTCCTCACTTGTCACACTCGCACTTGCATCATCCGCTCTCACTATTACCGCATAACTCTTCTCTTTCGTTTTCACTCGTTTTCACATTCACTTCCTGTACCTTTTCAATCACGCTCTTTTCAACATTTTTCGCACTCACGCTCGCATAGCTCATTCCACTTCCGCCGTAGGCTAAATCCCGACTCGCTCGACGCATACACTCATCCAGTTCCCCTGTATTCTCTCATTTTTGCACAACATTTTCATCATCTCCCTCACAGCACATCAACATTTAAATAAGGTTGCAATAATCTTAAATTGTAAGATTGTAAGATTCCACAGAGATTAATAAATGTGCCATTAACCTCCCAATAACATGTGCATGTTCGTCCAATCTCATTCCCTTAACATCCCAGAAATCTTACAGGGCATGTTGTATTAACATTCATATAACATACTAAGAACCTTTAATATTACAAATTAAAAGGTTCTTAGTATGTTATATGAATATTAATACAACATGTCCTATAAGGTTTGTGGGATGTTAAGGAATGAGATTGGACGAACATGCACATGTTATTGGGAGGTTAATGGCATATTTATTAATCTTTGTGGAATCTTACAATTTAAGGTTATTGTAAGCTTATTAGGATATATGAGAGATTCATTTATATATATATATATATATATATATATATATATATATAAAATTATAAAATTGTATATATATGTTTTATATTATTTATTATGTAATATATATATAATATATATAATTATTACATTATTAATATACATATCACAGATTAATATATATATATATATATATATCATTATATATTATATATTATTTTAATATAACATTATATATATATATATATATATATGTTATAAATGATTTTTATATAATAATAACGCAGTAGCGTAACAATTTCTTTGGCTGGGAAGCTTCCGCAAAATTTTTTGAGTCCCCTTGCACAAACATATAAAAATTGCATTATATTTTTAAATAAAAATTAAAGAAAAATTAAAACTAAAAATTAAATAAAATATTTAAATAAAAATTAGAACGAAATAAAATAATACTTATTGGCCGCGTTCAACAGACTCAACAGCTCAAGTAGCAATCGAACGTGATTCTTACTTTTAGAACCAGCCAATTAGAAAATTGAAAATTGAAAAAATGAACCGGAAATAACGCTACTGCGGATAAATAAACTTAATAGTATAATATAAACTATATATAACTTTTACAATATATATAAAATAAACTAAATATGAGTTTTAATATGACTTAATATGAATTATATATTGCATCTTTCCATCATCAGTTCGCATTCTCTGCTTCGTCGATTGCTTCACGCTCCTGTTGCTTTTTCGCTTTTGCTCTATAAAAATTTTTCAATTAATGTGTGTATTTTTCAAACAAATTTACCTGTAATATATTTTTTTAGAGTAATTATAAAAAGCGTTATATGTGTATTGTATTTTTCTTTTTATTAATTATAATTCTTAATATATACTATTTTTATTATTTTTATTAATTATTATAATTTTTAATATTTGTATATATATGATTAACTATAATACTGTAATATTAATATAACAAATAAAATTCTTATTATTAAATGAATATATACATATACACATGTATCTACATATATATATATATATATATATATATGGTATATATATTATATACATACTCTGCTCTTTGCACTCGCCACTTAGCGTGTATTAACCAACTCGATATTAACTCAGCAATCTGTGTATCACTTGATTCCGGTTTATGAATTCGTATCACTCCTATAAATAGGGAAAAATCGATATTACTATAATGATACTAAAATATATGTATGAAAAATAAATATTTACTTACATAAATATTTTCCTACAATAATTCTTAAATAAAACGTTATATTGATATAAAAACGAAAATATCAAGATATATATTATCAGTAGTTTGCAAGAAAAAAGAGAGTGAAAAAAAAACTTTTTGCAAACTAAGTTTCAACAAAATGGATAATAAAATTATTTTTTCGATTAATTTCAAGCAGACTTCCCTTACGAAAAAAAACTACAAGCATACGAAAAAATTACTGGTATACCAATAATATATTATTGAAGAACTATTATTGTATCAGTAATTTTTTCGTATTCTTGTAGTTTTTTTTCGTGCGGGTTTAATAGAATTCTAATTTGGAGTTTATATGTATACAGTTATATAGATATGTCGAATATTAAAAAGTCACCATATATAAGGATTTTATCCAACAAATTGTCATATTAATATATAATAATGTCAAATGTTATATGTATATATATTTCCTGAACAAATATATTGAGATATTTCATGCATTAATTATATATGTATATTTATAGTGTTTCATATAAGTAAATTTTTTTATACTATGCATTACTATATTTAAACTTATTATTTTGAGATTTTTATTTAACTTTTTGTGTAAACTATGCATTGTGTGTGTGTGAATTAGTAACTCTATATAAATATGTACTAACATATGTATTTCCTGAATAATTTTATATTGATATAATATTTTTACAAATATTTTTATGGAAAATTTTTATTATGTTAATATGAAAATAAATATAACTTCATTATTGAAAGCATCAAATCTGGTACTAGAAATACTCTATTCTATAAACTCAAATATTTTAAGAACAATTTGTGAATAAGGATAGTCTCGTCTATGTTTTGTTGTTTTGAATATGGCAGAATCGATTGTTTGAGTTTCATGTAATACTCACTCTTCACAATTGAGCATAATTTTAGAGCACTAAAATTTTTCTTGTTTCGTTGTCCTAAATAACTGAAAGTCTGTGCAAAATGGTCGCTTAGTAACTTTTTTAACATATTTGGGATTATATTGGACAAATTCACTCCACCCACTTGTTTCAGCGTGTTTACCTAGAGACAAGATAGAGAAAAGAAGAAATTCGTTATTAATTTAAAATATGAAATATTATCAACTAAAATTATATAAAAATAAAATCTCGACGGCAATCGGAGCCTATGCGGATGACATGCACAAAATTAATAAATTAAAATGAGATCTCAAGTCAAACTCATTTATTAAATTCTAAACGTTTCGACCCACTTCGGGTCTTCTTCAGTAGCTGCAAAATACAAAGAAACAAAAATAGAAGATAATCGGTACAATCAGAAAATTATAAAACTCGTATACATACAATCCGCAAATAAATTAAATATCATTCTCCTCCCTATTCAAACCGTCCGGCCGTCGGAGTGTCTCCCTAACGGTGACCATCGTCAGGAAGGAAGCGGAGCAGTGACTCCCTTACCAACACTAATCAACATGGTATAAATTAAACGTAGAACAATTCACAAGAATTAAAAATTAAGAACCGGGAAGAACACTCACCCCGACAGCAAAAACAGAGAGAAGACGATGCTACACGTGACACATCACTCTAACGACTGTGCGGTATTCTACCTCGACACAGTCGATACATATATACGCAAAAAACAAATATAAAAATAAAATATGAAAATAAAAATAAAAATAAAAACAACTAAACTAATCGGCACTCATGTCAAAAGTCTAACAAAAAAACCCGGCTATGTAAAATCACAAAGCTAGATTTTGGTAAATTTTTCTATTAACAGATCAAGATTCTCGTTTAATTTATCAGTGTCGCTATGTAAATTTAAACTATTCCTCTGACGTTTTATGTGGATCATTTCGGATATCAAACGTTTACCTAAAAAAGGCTCCTCGTCTAAGACTTTTACATCCTCCCAATTAAATTCATGGTTCAATAATCTATGTTCCGATATGACTGATAATTGTGACGCGTTTCTTTTTATGTTGTTGCGATGTTCTTTCATCCTAGTTTTCAACAATCTACCCGTCTGCCCTACGTACGACGCATCACAATCCATACAATCAATTTTATAAACTACATTATTATGGAGTTCTCTTGGTAACTTATCCTTGTGTACTTTAATGAATTTACGGAGACTGTTAATTGCTGTATATGATGGAATGACATCCAAATCACGTGTAATGTCCTCGATTCTCTTCGATACATTATTAATATACGGAATATTAAAGTACGAAACTTTTTTCTGCGTTAGAATCTTGTCATTGCATACATTTGCTCTATTGTTATGCAACTTATTATTATAGCGGAAGAACAACTTTTTTAACCGCGCTTGTAATGTATGAAATATCAAATTGAGAGGATAATTATTAGACAAAAGAACTCCAATCATAGACTCAAAGTTAACTTTATGGAATTTCGGATGAGATAGCCAAAAAACTCTATCTATGAGGCTGATAATGGTGCCTTTTTTATGACAGAGAGGATGCTGCGATTCAAAATTTAAATATCTACCTGAATACGTCGGCTTATGAAACAAATCAAACTCAATGCTCCCATTATTTATAATAATGGTGACATCTAAAAAATTCAATCGGTTGTCAACCCCCTCCTCCATGGTGAACTGCAATCTAGGATGGAAAGAATTGAAAGTGTTTAAAACTATTTTAAGCATGGAGGGTGGGGCCGCCAACGCGATATCGTCAACATATCTAAAATAAAATGGAAATGACAATGGAATCGCAGCAATCGCTCTACTCTCCAAATCTTGCAACGTGATATCCGCAATAATCGGTGAGAGGGGGGAACCCATAGGCGTGCCAAAAGTCTGTTGATAACATACATTATTAAACATAAAATAAGTCGAGTTCATAATAAAACGAATTGCCAATAAAAATTCATCTCGTGGAATAATACACTCTTTTTCAATATACCCCCATCTGTTAATTAAACTATCAATAGCCATATCCAATGGTACGTTGGTGAACAATGATGTAACATCTAGTGAAACTAGCTTCACATCACTATCCACACATAAACCATTTAATTTGTTCACTAATTGGAAACTATCAGAAATAGCCGAATCAGGTTTCGGAATTGCCTTATATATTATCTTATGTAAAAATTTTGCCAAGTAATAAAGAGGTGTATTCCTAGATGACACGATGACACGTAAAGGGCAATTCGGTTTATGCACCTTCGGCAGACCATACGCTCTCGGTAAAACCCCGTCCGTGCAGTTCAGGGATTTATATGTTGTTGAAGAAATGTAATTCTTCGTTTTCCATCTCATTAAAATTCCGTGTAATTGATTAATTAGGTTCCTAGTCGGATCTTTTTTAACAACAGTATAAGTATCCCGGTCAGCCAGCAAATCACACATTTTGTCCATGTACATATCTCTGTTCATCGCAACCGTGATATTACCCTTATCCGCCTTCATAAATAAAATATCGGGATTGTCTTGGATGAATTTACCCGTCAATTTGTAAGCCTTACAAAAACTATTTTTTGTGTGAGCTTTTTCTGACATGGAAATATGGAATTTATTTATTATGGGAAAGGCTCTACTTCTGACTGCAGATCGTTTTTCCACAGGGAGTTTAAAAATATTTTGTTCCATATTTTTCAACAACTCTATGGTGGTTTTATCTTTGTCAAATACTGGCAGACAGAAATTCTCTCCTAACCGCAACAAATCTCGAATTTCATACGGTATCGATACGGATGATAAATTTAAAAACCATTTATCTCTTTTGTCAGCAACATCAGGATTTAAAGAAACAAAGGAAGTCGGGCTCAAGGAAACGCTGAGAGACTGAGACGGCCCTGACTCACATGGCCTTGAAGAAATTCTTTCGTACACGTGTAATAATATTGGATAGGACGGATATTCCTATTATTGAATTTATTTTGTTTATCTAAGAGCCATCTAAATTTATCATCCAGTCGAACCCGCTCCTTATTATAAAAATAATGTAATGATTTGCTTTGCTCACCGAAAAACCCATCACAATAAAACACTGGGAGATCTATCATGATGTAACGAACGAGTTCATAAATATCTAATCTGACTTTGTGCTTCTGTCTATGAGCATCATAAATTTCATTTCTTAAAATGTCTTTAATAGTACGTCTTATAATAAATTTGTGTTTCAATACAGACTTATAATGATATAAATTATTAGCATAACGAGAAAGAAACATCAGATGAGACGGTGTAACATCCTGATTTAAACAATCTTTTAAAATTTGATTCGCAAGTTTAATCTAATCAGACTCTTATTTAATTTAATCCAATCCTTCAAATGTTTGACCGCGCTCCAATTAAAACTGTGTCCAACAAATTGGAAGAAATTCCTCAACGGACGCATTATTACAGCCAGCGTAAATTCAATATAAAAAAACTATTAATCTCGGCTCGAATTATTGTGTTACAATAAAAATAAAATCTCGACGGCAATCGGAGCCTATGCGGATGACATGCACAAAATTAATAAATTAAAATGAGATCTCAAGTCAAACTCATTTATTAAATTCTAAACGTTTCGACCCACTTCGGGTCTTCTTCAGTAGCTGCAAAATACCGAACTCCGAAATGATCCACATAAAACGTCAGAGAAATAGTTTAAATTTACATAGCGACACTGATAAATTAAACGAGAATCTTGATCTGTTAATAGAAAAATTTACCAAAATCTAGCTTTGTGATTTTACATAGCCGGGTTTTTTTGTTAGACTTTTGACATGAGTGCCGATTAGTTTAGTTGTTTTTATTTTTATTTTTATTTTCATATTTTATTTTTATATTTGTTTTTTGCGTATATATGTATCGACTGTGTCGAGGTAGAATACCGCACAGTCGTTAGAGTGATGTGTCACGTGTAGCATCGTCTTCTCTCTGTTTTTGCTGTCGGGGTGAGTGTTCTTCCCGGTTCTTAATTTTTAATTCTTGTGAATTGTTCTACGTTTAATTTATACCATGTTGATTAGTGTTGGTAAGGGAGTCACTGCTCCGCTTCCTTCCTGACGATGGTCACCGTTAGGGAGACACTCCGACGGCCGGACGGTTTGAATAGGGAGGAGAATGATATTTAATTTATTTGCGGATTGTATGTATACGAGTTTTATAATTTTCTGATTGTACCGATTATCTTCTATTTTTGTTTCTTTGTATTTTGCAGCTACTGAAGAAGACCCGAAGTGGGTCGAAACGTTTAGAATTTAATAAATGAGTTTGACTTGAGATCTCATTTTAATTTATTAATTTTGTGCATGTCATCCGCATAGGCTCCGATTGCCGTCGAGATTTTATTTTTATTGTAACACAATAATTCGAGCCGAGATTAATAGTTTTTTTATATAAAATTATATATATATATATATATATTGTTAACTAAACCTATATATATATATGAATATGTTATATATATAAAACTACATATTTACCATTTTATCTGCAAATGAGCTAGTTTTTAATAGCTGTTCTAATCGTTCTAATGCTTGCATATTTTGTAATGGAAGATCATACTCCTCATATAATATAGTATTGTTGACTGTTTCTTCCTCCCTATGCCGCATAATGTTTGATGTTTCTAGCAATATCATTCTATTTTCTAGAGCAGTCATTTTGTTAAGCAATAATTGTAATTTTCTTATAACCTCTTTTTGAAATTCTAAAAACATTAAAAAATTAAATAAATTAAAAATGCAAAATAACTAAAGTGCTTTTTTGATCGCTGTGTTGTAATTATTTTGCTATGGTAATAAAAGATTCGTGCGCACTTATTATCTCTTATTATATATAATAAATACTGATGTAATAAACTAATAATTTTGAATATACATAAATATTTTCAAAAAATTTGTTAAAATATTAACCATTTTCTGCAGTTATTAATAAGTTTTTACTTCCAGTACACATGATATTTTTATCTTTCTCAGTCATTTTCGAGTTGCCATTTTCATCTGATAGATTGTCACAATATCTCCGTTCTGTTGTGTATCTATCATTTATTGTCGCTTCTTTATCTAAACTTTTATTATGCTTAGCAGAACTGATTTGGCATTCAGATTTTGAGCGTTCTATATGTATTGATGGCGGTGAAGCTAATTGACTTGCAGAAATCTTTTTATTGTTCGTGACACAAGATTTTTTTGTAAGTTTAGGAAAGGGTAATAATTTGGTTGTTTTCTCACTAACGTCAGAATCAAATTCACACTCTTCTGACGAAGAAAAAATTTTTTTAGCTCGCATATGTCTTGATTTTTTTTCTTTGACGCATCTTTTGTCATCATTTTCTGTGCTTTCGTCAGCCGTCAAATCTGACATATTTTCAGCAATAAGTAGCTTCTCTTTTGCTTTTTCATATAAATCTGAAAATATAGATAGACATAAAAAGGATATTTAAAATCGACATATTTATAAATAATGTACATAATCGAATTTTTGAAAAATAAATCTAACTTGTTCTATAGAAGATTTTTATAACATCATATTTTTTCCAGTTTGAGTTATCTTCAGGAGATAATTGTGATGCAACAGCCTTTTTTATTTTTGTTGGATCCCGAAAAGTGGGATAAGCACATTTCATTTCACTCTCGTTTAACCAACATGAAGGTACTATTGCCAGGCCATCATCAAATTCTACGACAATGTAGATTTTCGAGGTGGCCATTTCTGCTTAAAGTAGATATTATAAGTTTTGTGAAGATAGAATCACACGTAATATAGAAGATCAGAATAAACTAAAAATTTTATTTTTTAGAAATAAACAAACGGGACTATATAAATAATAATTATAACAATTCTTCGAACTCTATACTCGTATATATATACACACTTAAACTATGCTGATTTTATAACTCATTCATATTTATAACTTATATATATTAATGAAATATATTTATAATTTTTATATTTACAAGTAAAGCGCGGATAAGAGCGTTATCGGAAATGCGAGCAAGACTATCCAATCGAAAACCTCCGTATGGCGAGGATTCTCGATTTGAAAATTTCGCTCGTGTTTCCGGTAGCATTCTTATTTATACTATAACTATTATAGTTATATATATTATCTATTATTATTAGATAAATTATTTTTAAATGTATGTATTAAGGGGCATATAACAAACTGATCGCCATACGGAATTTTCCAAGCTTTTGCTGCTATATAATTTATGTCCCATGCTTTTAAAGTTTGATTTTCATAATTTTCATTTACAATATTTATTTGTAAAAGTGAAGACTGAATAGGTACATCATATAAAACTTTTACATTTAATAGTTTTTTCCCAATCACAAATATAGTTTTATCTTCACTCTGAATAATATTTTCTATTTCTATGTACTCTCCATTTTCTAATATGCAGCAATTATTTCTTTTATCACAGCGGATTGTATATAATAAATTACACAACATTTTATATTGATTTTTAATATTCTTAATATTGTTTTCTAAAGGGCCATCAAAATGTTTATTATCTAAATATAATTCAAAACCTCTTATTTCATAATTCAGAGTATTTTCTTTAAATGTTTCATTTATATTTTCAATTTCACCAAATCTTTTTGAAATTTGTTGTAATGGTTTGTCTCCTTTTCTCAATAGTTTTTTAATTGTTGACATATAATTTTCAAACCTAAAGCAACTAAAGTTATCTAATATTCCAAATTTTCTTACATCTGCAACAAGATGTAGTAAATTATGTATATTATGAGATACATGTGCTTTATCATATAATTTTGCAAAAGAATCAACAAAGTGTTTCAATAAATTTTGAACATAATCTAAATAATAATTTTCCTCACAAAAAGTTTGATTACATAATATTGAAATAGCAATATGAAGCGTTAAAAAATGGTTATACATGTCTCTGTCTAATATATCTTTTAAAACAATAGGCCCTAAATATAAAAGAAAAGTTCTAAATTCTGTAGCTTTCCACTGTTTATAATCTTTCAGAGATCTAGGTCTTCTATTAAATTCTAATGGAACTGTTGATCTTATATTTTTGAGTAATCGAGAAACTCGTTCACAGAAGGTATTAGCTATTCTTTTTGGAAATACATGTTTCAACCATAAACTTATTAATTTTCGCATCACCCCTAAACATACTAAATGCATATAATCAAGTGGCACACAAGAAACTAATCCAAAATTGTCTATTTCCTTTAATATACATTCTCCTTGCTGATATTCTCCCATGTATTTATTATCTGCCAGTTCTGAATCAGTACGTAAGCTATTTTTATTTATTCCTGGAAAACATACACGTCCATGCCATTCACCTCTTATGATACATTTTGTACAGCTAGAAAATCCTGTATGACTTTTTACTGAAAGAACAAATGATTTTGCTGGTGTATCGCAAATCAATGCACTTAAATTTACTATGACTGTTATTTCATTGACACTAATTCCTGTTATTATTAATGGCTTTATATCTGATACAAATCTTTTTAAAAATTCATTGGGATCTTTTGGTTTTGTATATCCATAATACAGTCCTGCAATATATACTTTACCACACAGATTTTCCGATACAAGAATAGGCCAAAAACAACCGTTTGAAGACCGAGATATAGTCATGCCATCAATATTTATTAATAAATCTAGTACAGAAATTTGTTTACCACTTTTTCTTATATCCATTATCATTTTTTCCACAATACTTTTAATATCAAAGTGACAATATTGACCATTGCCCATTTCAATAACCTCGGTAATATTTCTGGGAGTTTGTAAAAGAGTTCTAGAGTCCTTTGGAAATTTAGTATTTGTATAAGAATTTAAAATTTCTAACAGTGGTGTCAGCGCAGAGTGTGTGATTCCATATTTTATTGCCCATGCAGCTACAGATTGTTTGAAATTTTTATTTTTATTTAAAGACTCATCACTCATAGTTTCAGAATAAAAATTATTATCTGTGCTTATTGCTTCTAAGGACTCATGTAAATGTTCAATTAAATTTGATTGCGATATGTTGTCATTTACATTGTTTTCATTTAGTGATATAAAAGTAACTTCATCATTTATATTTCTCATATTTGCAGTATTTTCTTTATTACATTCTATATCTGTATTCATAGAACTATTGCAAGCAAAGTTTGTGCTTGTAATAATGAACTGCTTCTACTAAAAGAATACGAATCTGCCTCAATTTTAGCTAAACGCCTAAGATGACCCTTAGAATATATTTTATATTTATGTATTCTATTCATTATAAACATTTATAATAAAATAAACTATTTATAATAAATAAATAATTATAATAAATATTATACTGCTATTATAGATACCGAAAGCACGATAATCTAACTTAACTTAACCTCTTAATATACATAAATCTATATATAGTTAAATATTTATACAATTTTTATTTATTACCCAGTTTTTATATAGTATGATGATTGAAGAGATGCACAGATGAGTTGAACCGATGCACACACTCAAAATAATGCACAAAATACGAAGTATTCTTTTCCTCAAAACGTGCTTTGTCCGATTATAACAAAATTGTCACATTAGAAAGAAAGGAAAGTAGTTCAGAATGGCTATAATTGGCGCGCTCAATAAATTAATTGGCGCGCAATTTGAATAACAAAGTTAAAACAAAATAAATATTTTTTCAAATAAATATAAAATAATTATAAATATGACAATTATAAAATGTTGAAAATTTATCAAACATAAATACGAAGAAATACTTATTTTATAAATAAATACAAGTGAAAATGGCCTTAAGAGCCGAACGCGGATATTATAATGCGTGTATTTCATCGAAATTAATTTTTTCGTTGAAATTAAATAATTGTGCACAAGGCACATATTTTTCTTGGTCTACTACCAAGACTTAATATATGAATTAATCTCTTAAATTACTTGAGATTTTTAATCCATAGAACCCCCCTAACACCCCTAGAGAATTAAACTTATTTTATAATATATTATAATAAAATATTTTATAATATATTATTTTTATAATTCAATTTAATTAAAATTTTTAATAAATAAATAATTTTGAAAATATGAAAATGTGCAAACATCAAATTTAATAAATATTTTAAAGAGATTTTATAGTTTTATATTACGTATTTTTAGTATTCCCGAAAAATGAGATAACTGCGTGAAGATTACTGAAATATTGAAATAAAGTTCCATTAATCTTCCGACAACATTATAATGTCAGATTATATTGTAAGGTTAGTAGTATATACCAACAACCTTACAATATAATCTTACATTATAATATTGTCAAAAGATTAATGAAATCTTGTTTCAATATTTCAGTAATCTTCACGCAATTATCTCATTTTCATAATTGCGTGTAAGATTACTGAAATATTGAAATAAAGTTCCATTAATCTTCCGATAATATTATAACGTAAGATTATATTGTAAGGTTAGTGGTATATACCAGTAACATTGATTATTAAATATGTAAAGTTGTAACCTCCCTATAATTTTACTGCAATGTTCGGTGCTGTGAGGGCTGTTCCTCATATTCTCCCACAATGTCCAGTATTTTCTCACTCGCACTCTTTGAAATTTTGTTCGTCTCCGTAAACAGGAATTTACGGAGTCTCGCACCAATTACTCTCATACACGCTATCTCACTCACTTCCGCAACGCTCTCATTCTCTTCCTCATTCATTAATCAAGAACGAAAGTTAGAGGTTCGAAGGCGATCAGATACCGCCCTAGTTCTAACCATAAACGATGCCAGCTAGCAATCCGCCGAAGTTCCTCCGATGACTCGGCGGGCAGCTTCCGGGAAACCAAAGCTTTTGGGTTCCGGGGAAGTATGGTTGCAAAGCTGAAACTTAAAGGAATTGACGGAAGGGCACCACCAGGAGTGGAGCCTGCGGCTTAATTTGACTCAACACGGGAAACCTCACCAGGCCCAGACACCGGAAGGATTGACAGATTGATAGCTCTTTCTTGATTCGGTGGGTGGTGGTGCATGGCCGTTCTTAGTTGGTGGAGCGATTTGTCTGGTTAATTACGATAACGAACGAGACTCTAGCCTGCTAAATAGGCGTACCTTATGGTATCGCGAAGGCCCCCGGCTTCGGCTGGCGGGTTTTTACTACCAACGTACAAACAAATCTTCTTAGAGGGACAGGCGGCTTCTAGCCGCACGAGATTGAGCAATAACAGGTCTGTGATGCCCTTAGATGTTCTGGGCCGCACGCGCGCTACACTGAAGGAATCAGCGTGTGTTCCCTGGCCGAAAGGCCCGGGTAACCCGCTGAACCTCCTTCGTGCTAGGGATTGGGGCTTGCAATTGTTCCCCATGAACGAGGAATTCCCAGTAAGCGCGAGTCATAAGCTCGCGTTGATTACGTCCCTGCCCTTTGTACACACCGCCCGTCGCTACTACCGATTAAATGATTTAGTGAGGTCTTTGGACTGGTGCGCGGCAATGTCTCGGCATTGCCGATGTTGCCGGGAAGATGACCAAACTTGATCATTTAGAGGAAGTAAAAGTCGTAACAAGGTTTCCGTAGGTGAATCTGCGGAAGGATCATTAACGTTCCGGAGGTCCTGCTCTGCGTCGAGAGTCCTCTCTTTTGGGAGAGACGCGCGCTCGCAGCAGTCGGCGACTGAATGGACGCGCTGAAAAGGCGCTCTCAGAGAAAAAGAAAATAACGGATTTGACGGAATTTGTTGTTGTGTTTTGATATAACGACGGACGCCGTCGCGCCTCTCTGACCGAAAGTAGTCGGCAAGCAGAGCAGCGCGCCCGGCGGTGTTCGACGACGATTCGGACCGAGACGCTTCGCGATCACGCTCGTGTGTGTGCCATCCTCCGGCCACACACACACAGAGCGTCGATTCGGCGTTGAGCGCGAACCGGTGGTAACCTATGCCCGCGCACGCGTGTGTGCAGCACCCACGACGTTCGTCGACGCGCGCCCTCCCCGTTGTCGCGGGGCAGCGGTCAGCGTGCCGAGAACACACGGTGTGCGACCGCGAGTGCCGAGCGAGAGGACCCCCATATATTATTATAATATATATTGTTACGTCCGCGACCACCCTTCGGATTATCTCGAAGAAATGTCGCGCGCACTCAAACTCTCACACGCCGGAAATGAATACACTCGCGTAGTAAAGCAATAAACTTTAATATTAGAAGCCAATAAACCGTAGCGATACAATATAATATTACGTGCATTAATCCTAATGCAAATATATCCGCCGATCAGCTGTCAGAGGATACGTCCTCACCGCACGACAGCTAGACCAGAACAAAACGCATCGAAAGACATAAACAGCTTCTTAGCGACGATAGAAGATCCTGATAGAAGACCCTGATAGAAGACCCTGATAGAAGATCCTAATAGAAAATCCTGACGATCGTATAATACAGGGATGTATCGTCAAACGGGCGGGACACGGACATAACACTTGCCCCCTCCTCTTCAAAATTGTCGTCCCGACAATTAATTCAATAGGACAGATCCAGAACAATTCCTTACAGGAACCTCGCCGAATTACAGTCCCCGATGTGACTCCATGTTTTCCCCGAACTGCTGTTCCAGGTACAACGAACTGCACACCATCTTGGGTCCAATCGACTTCATTGATTCCAGGAATTTTCCTCAAAGTCCCAAAATTCTTCAGGCAAGAGAGGGGTAACATTCCGTGGACCCAACGCCCTTTTAAAGGACTCCTCAAGCCTCTGCCTCGGCATTTGCCCAAAGCCCCCGGGAAAAACCACGGATCAAAATAACCACGGGGTGAGGCAGTCTTCGTCCCTTTTTGTGAGGTAGTCTTCATCCCTTTTATCTCTCTCATCTTCATCAGGTCCTTTTTCTTTTTGTTGCCAAATAAGATTTTCCTGAAAAACAAATCTTACGGCAGAAAAATTGAAGAATACACAATTTTATTAAAAGTACAAGTAACCTATCGTGGGTTCCGATTCTAATGCAAGTTTCGACTATAAAAAGGAGCTAATCTATCCGAATGCACAATTTTACATTTGTGCTTATTTGACCTTATGATTCCAAAAACCACATCGCTAAGCTTTTTGATTATTTTATAAGGCCCCTCCCAATTACTTTGTAATTTAGGAGATTTGCCTTTTACTCTATGAGGATTATAAAACCATACTTCTTGACCAATATTAAAATTAATCTTCCTAGCTCTACGATCATGTCGTATTTTAGAACGAAGAGATTGAAGATTCAAACGCTGACTAGCACTTCTGTGAATATTGTCCAACTTTTCCCTCAATCTGTGTACATATTCTTCGGAAGAATTATCTTTTTTATCTACTGGAGGACTCCCTCGTAATAAATCCAAAGGTAGTGTTACGTCCAATAATTCATCTAACGATAAATTACCTTCTGCACAAGACGGTCTTCTCTCGCGTCTACCTCGGTGGACGTTTAAGAAGCTGCTCTCTATTTGTTTTATGGGCAACCTGCTAGGCCGGCTATACCCAGGGAAGCCGAGAGCTTGAGATTCGATTGAGAGTATCGGACGGAGAAGGAAACTGACGGGTCGGGTCGATAAATAAAGATATTTGGCAAATACAATGTCGTTTATTTATTTATAAAACCTTTCTATTGATATAAACTTTATTGGTTCTGACGTGGTTCGTGGGGAGCTTGAAATTGAGTTACAATATTGCTAAGCTCCTGTTCCGAATTATTAGGCTGAATGAGGTAAGTAATAAAAGAGGTAAAATTGTCCTGAGCTTCTTCTGAGATGAAGTTACGAGTGCCGTCGGATGTGAGGTTCACGGTATCCTCGTCAAGAATATTAAAGTTTTGTTCGTGATTAAATTGTAAAATGGGATCGTACTCTGGCGATGTGATTGGTAGATTTTGATCCGGGATATAATATTCAGGATCGGGTAAGAATTGATGATTAGGGTTCGTTATTAACGTATTTGATTCTAACGGCGAGGGCTCCGGAAATTGCGGGTGAGAATAATCAATGTAGGGCGGAAGGTTATTTATAGGCGAATAAACGTCTGGAGAAGGGGGTCGAACGATTACTCGCGTAGGAAATATTTGGACATGTAAGTTTAAGACTCTTCTTGTCCTACGTTCGCGTAGTCTGTGGAGACGTTGCTCGTCGCGATCAATTTGATTCTTCCTTCGGAAGGGAGAGACCATCTAATGGTTAAATAAATTTATATGAATAATATGTTTAATAGAACTGAGATAGTTAAATAATCAAAGGTAATTGAATGTGACTTACGTTTAAGTCGTGATTTACGTGTTAAAGAGTTAGAGACGAGATGAAAGGTTAATCTATACGAGAATGCCCTTCACCTGTTAATTAATTAAGCGTTGTGTCAATTATAATTATAATTAAACGATACTGAAAGAGAATTGGTAATAATGTGGAATTGGAAAAGGAGTCTTAGTACATGTATTAATATCTATATCAAGAATATTAATATTTGTACTTTCAAGCATCAAAGATTTAAGTCTTAAATATTGAAGTAATAATTCTTAGTAATTATCAAGACCTCTGTCATTCGGTTTGGTAAAGTATTCGCAACTATTGGAAAATGCAAGGTAATAAAAGCGTAAAAGCGAT